ACACGAAGTTCAACCCACTTCCTAGACTACTGTAATTTGATCGTCCTCAAGTTTAAGGACAGATCAATCTTTGTAATATGCTCAAACAATAGTAGAATTATTCTGACTATGCATGGCCTCGTGATTTTTTTTTCTTCCTTTTTTAGTATTTCTATGTGAAAATCATTGTGTTTTTAAGTTCCCTGTTTGTATGTTGGATATCCATGCAACGCTATGACAAAAAAAAATATCTTATTTTACTATCACGAATATTATAGCCCGTAGCAAGACTTAAACTTATCATGCTCTTTATTATTTACCCGTCTCAAGCTAGCTTCATGAAAAATAGGATGGGTGATGATAATATTATTATTGCATCTAAAATTCTCTCTGATTTTAAAAATTATACAAAGGATGGTCTTTTTGGAACTTTTTGAAAATCGGACCAAATCGGTCGATTTAACCCGTTTTATCATAAATAGAACAAGTTACTAGTTATGTCAAATTTAAAAATCATGTTTGCATCAAACCGGCTCGAACCGATTTTGACTGTCAGTTAGACTTTAAAATCATCAACCCGATCCCAATTTGGTAGAACCAACCAATTCTATAAAATATTTAATTTATTTTAAATAATTTTAAATAATATACATTTTATTAAAATCTTTTTAAAAAGTATAAAATATTTTTTATTAGATATGAAGATGAATTCAACCGTAACATATACAAACTATCTCACATAACATGCTTTTTTTGTTTTATATAACATGCTTGGTTGCAAGTTGTGCAAACTTTATATTATGTAAAGACAACTAGCTTAAACTCTCCTTGAGAACTATAATTTATGTAGTATATGAATAGTATATGAATTAAAATGCAAATGTGGGTTGGGTTGAGTTGCGAATTTAGCGTGGTTGGGCTATGAATTTGGGCTGATTGGGGCCCGATCCGATTTTCACAACCTTATTTTTTGTGCTAATTTTGATATTTTCAAAGCTTTTGATTCAGTATCTAGAATTTTTTTGCTTTGGAGGATGGCTATTAAAGGCTTCCCTAACAAATTTATTGCCGAGCTAAAAAGGTGTATTGAAGATACGTTCTTTTCTATTTACATTAATTGAAGTTTGTAGGGTTTCTTTAGTTCTTCTTCTGAGCTCAAGCAAGATTGCCCCCTCTCCCATTACTCTCTTTATGCCGTCTTAATGGTTCCTTTTCTGAATACATCAGAGATAATATATGCATCTCTCATCTTCTTTATGAAAATGTCCTCATAATTCTTGGTAAGGCTGTTCAACCTAATATTCAATCTGTTAATAGCATTTTTTTTTCTAGTTTTGGCAATGTGGCTGGCCTCAATATTAATTATTCTAGAAGTTTCATTATGTTCTCTCATAGTTCTTTTGAGTTTAATGATTTTTGTGATATTCTTGGTTTGCCCAGAGTCTATGAATTCTTTAAATATCTAGTGTTCCTATTCCTCCCAAAAAATTTTGGTATATTAGATTTTCAAAGCTTAATTGCTAAAGCTCACTCTTTACTGGATGATTGGAAATCCAAAGCCCTTTCCTTGGTTGGCTGGCTTCAGCTTCTGAAATTTCTCTATATATCTAACACAATTGCTTACTGGATTAAAGGTGTCATTTTACCTAAGGCATGTATTAAACAGATTAACATGCTTAAAGCTCATTTTTTGTATCATGGGGACATTTCAACTAGGAAATTGCATCTTATTGCTTGGAAAAATGCATGTAAGCCGCACTTGCTGAGGACTATTCCATACATCGTGCTTCTCATGAACTTCGCACTCCTTCGAAAGTTCGTCGGTTTGCCACTCATCGACTATGGTTTCAAATTCGATAACTCATCGTTGCTAGCTTGTGCATCCTTCCTCACCATCTCACCGGTCACCACAGTCTCTAAGCATTCCTATTTCTATGTAAGAATTATTTCCCAAACTTACTTAAATTTTTTTTTATTCCTCTTACCTCTACTTCATATATTTCCTTCTTATAACTAACTGGAAGAAATAAGATTCTAGTTAGTTCTGTGTGCAATGGCGTGACTTGTGAGCACAGCTTGATAGCTAGAATATAAAGTCTTTTTAGCACAACCTGAAGCATGTATTGTTAATGAAGAAAATGAGAGAATGTTTTGTTAGAAGAGAATAGAAAGAAAGAAAAATATGGGCTGTATTTGGTTCTGATGTGGTGGGAAGGGAATGGTTGGCAAGTTGCAGGAATTAAAAATGTGTTCTTTTTATTTATTTATTATTGCTGGCATTATATTTTTGTTTGGGACAATTTTCTTATTATTTTTTAAAGTGTAGCAAGAATGCTGTTGGGACGACTTTTTTATTGCTTCTGAAAACGGTGTTTTAGTACAAAAATTAAAAATTTGTACTACAATTCCGTTTTAAAAAGCAATAAAAAGCATCCCAAACGAAACCTTAATTTGATAAGAAATGCAATAAATAAAAGCAGGCACCTTTCAATTTATGAATGTTTGCTGGAAGCAATTATTAGCATTAGTTATCAATATATTTGATATTTTTTTTATTTGTTATGTAGTATTACGTTTTGTATGGGACAATATTTTTGGTGCTTTTTAAAATTGTTTTTTGTACAAAATTTTTTTGAATTAAAAATTTAAGAACTAAAAAGCCATTTTTAAAAGCACAAAAAAGCAATCACAAATGGAGCCTTAATCCTTTAAAGATTTTAGTGATGATCATAAATTAACAAATATCTAATAATTAATGCTTTATATCTTCATAAATTAACAAATATTTAATAACTTATGCTTCATGACTTCAATTAAAAAAAAAAATCATGTTTTATATTTCATGATTATTATTTTTGTTTAAGTTTCAGTCACATTTTTTATATGATTGCATTATTTTTATGTGAATTATTCTATATTTAAATAAAATTAATACTTATTACATTATTCGGTTCAACCCAAGTCGAATCGTTGAATCGTGAACCTCTCATTCTTCCAATTTATTGTCCGGTTAGATTTTCACAATGTTGATATTTATAGGTACAAATCATTTGCCTAAAGTTAAATTAAATTTAAACACAAATTAAATTAAAATAACTATAGAAATAATATATACATTACAAATACTTTAGTTTATACATAGTATTATTTTGAGGCTTAATCAAATTTCTTAACGAATTTATTTATAAGTTTTTGAAACGATATTATTTATGATTATAAATGAGTCTAGCAATGACTTGTTCAAATTTATATATTTAACAATCGAACATCTAAAAAATTATTCAAATTTATTTGATTAGGTAGGCTTCTTTTGGGCTAGTTTTTTAAAAACTTTCTAAAGCAACTTTTCAGTACAAATTGAGAGGAGTTATTACAGAATGCTGTCCAAATGAAGCTTTAGGCTTCGTTTGGGACGACTTTTTTATTGCTTTTAAAAACGGAGTTTTAGTACAAAAATTAAAAAATTTGTACTACAACTCCATTTTAAAAAGCAATAAAAAAGCCGTCCCAAACGAAACCTTAATTTGATAAGAAATGCAATAAATAAAAGCATGCACCTTTCAATTTATGAATGTTTGCTGGAAGCAATTATTAGCATTAGTTATCAATATATTTGATATTTTATTTATTTGTTATGTAGTATTAGGCTTTATTTGGGACAATATTTTTGGTGCTTTTTAAAACTGTTTTTTTGTATAAAAATTTTTTGAATTAAAAATTTAAGAACTAAAAAGCCATTTTATTTATTGATTTATTATTATTGTACGGATTTAGTATTAATGCTACAAGTTTATTGATATTAATATGAATATTGATATTGATACTAACAACATTGTTTAATGATTTACTGTACGTATTGCACCAATACTGTCATCGATACTTATTTGATGCTACTAATGGTATATTGTTGCTATTGTTGTTATTGTTATTGATTTACTATATTATTTATTGATAAATTAATAATGATTATATGATGTACTGAGCATGCGTTTACAATACTTCACTAATACTAATATAAAATTGTGATTACTATTGTTAGTTTACTGTATTGATATTACTGCTCTTGGTTTTTCTACATTGATATGATTTACAATAGCCTTTAGCAATGCTCTGATTTTACCGATCTATATGATTTATTTACTAATTATCATTGATTGATCGATTCAACACATGTATTGGTTTACTAGTTTTCATACTATACTGTTTTACTAGTTCTCATATCATACTGTTGTACCTAATTTCTTTTACAGTGTGAAAACCAGTTAAACAGTACATGTGTTGAATCGATAAACAAATCATCATATCAGTACTGCCAATCAATGACAAACAATAAATAAATCATATAGATCGATAAAACAAAAGCGTCGACAAAGATTATTACAAATCATATCAATGCAATAAATCGGGAGAATTAATATCAATGCAATAAACTAATCGTGAATGTCTCTTATGACTATTGCACCCATCTATCTTATATGTGTGTCCTGAATTTTCATGCAAAGTCAAGATGTTAAGCTCTATATTTCTTCACCGCCGTCAATATTTCAAACACACAACAATTTTCCAACAAAAAATAGAACCAGCTCCACGAGAAGAATATAAAGCTTTGAGTCCTAATTTCATCAAAACGGCAAATTAGAATTTTGCCTCTTACTAAAGAATGACAGCCGCTTAGGTCGGGTTAGGAGGAGGCCGCACGTAAGCCCACCTCCCCGACCGGCCCGTTTGAACGGTCCGCCCGGCCTCAACTACGAGCGACGCCCAGACCAAACCGGCACGTGCAAACCAAATTGGACCCAAGTCCCCGACCGGCCCATCAACTCCCACGTGGCAGAACAGTCACACTAGTCACAGCGTGGATCATAAAAGCGCTCGTAATCTCACTCACCCTGTGGGGCCCACTGACATCTACCGCGCCTCGCGTTTGGCTTTCCTAACCGGTCCGCGTTGGAAACAAGCGCGGCGCAGCCTATCTATAGGATATCCAACTCGTGGTTCTCCTCTGTCGCAATATAAAGCCTGCCACCTAAACAAGATCACGACCGCACAGCCTGCTTTTCCTAGTTACAAAGTAGGAGGCTAGTCGTCACCGGAGGCGATAAAGAGGCCGTGATTACACCGGAGAGAGGCCGGCAATTGAAGATTTCGGCAGCGATGGCAGGGACGGGAGTCTTCAGTGAGATCATTGAAGGGGAGGTGTACAAGTACTACGCCGAGGGGGAGTGGCACAAGTCTAGCTCCGGGAAGTCAGTTCCGATCATTAATCCGACCACACGGAAAACGGAATACAAGGTTCAAGGTAAGAATCGGAGCTCGGATTGGGATTTGGGGGTTTTGGATTTGGGGTTTTGATTTGTTTTTGGTGGAAACTGGGAAATTGGGGAAGCATGCACGCAGGAGGAGGTGAACAAGGTGATGGAGGGGGCGAAGGCGGCTCAAAAGGCTTGGGCGAGGACGCCTCTGTGGAAGAGGGCGGAGCTGTTGCATCGCGCGGCGGCGATATTGAAGGATAACAAGGGGCCGATAGCAGAGTGCCTTGTGAAGGAGATCGCTAAACCTGCCAAGGACGCTGTCACTGAGGTCGGTCCTCTTGCAAATGCTTTGCCTAATTTTCTGCTTCTTGGAGCTGTTTGGAGGCATGTAGGATTCATGGAAATTTGTATTTTATGAATCTTATAGATGAACACCTATGTTAATTATGTGAATGTTAAATTTTAAAAATTTGTTTGATTGTCTATATTTTTAATCTGATTTGACATTTGAAAATTATTTGGATGCCAATAAGGAGTTTTAAATATTTAAATCCTGCATCCTGCGGCTGCTGAAACCCCCCTTATGCAACACATTTTAAACTGTTGTTAGTTAGGAGCTTTTGTTCGAACTTTGAATATGCGATCTTATAAGTTTACATTTAATTCGTACAGAGAAAAAATTTATTAAACTTAGAATCAAGAATTGATGCAGTCTGCTTAGATATATTAGTTGGGAGCTTAGGCTATCAAACAAAAAATGCTGAGCACGAAACTTATATATATGTGATGTATGTATTAGCATTTAATTTGCTGAAAAATCCCTCAAAAAATGTAGAATTGTATTAAATGTATTCTAACTTTTTGCTTAATTCTTCATTTTGTGTGTCTCTGGTTTTAAAAAAAAAAAATTTTGACAGGATTTACGATAAATCTTGACCAAGTCCTTCCTTAAATCCTACACCAAACTGCTTCTAAACCCAAAAAGGCAAAAACCTTAAATCCTACACCAAACTGGTTCTAAACCCAAAAAGGCAAAAAATTTACTTAATGGTGATTTTTTTTCTTGTCTTTATTCTGGAGTTATGTTTCTACAATTCTGGAAAATATTCCGTTCTTTTATCATTTCATTCGTTTCTTTATTATCAAGAAAGTTTATCTTTATTTATTTGGATAAAATCATGTGAAGTTGCTATTACTTAGTACTGCTTTGTCGTTCATTATTATTTTGCTTGCTATGGGAGATATTGTCATTTATGTCAAGTACACAACAAAAACTGAAGGGAAAATTTTTTTTTTTTTTCCTCAGAAGCTCTGTTTTTTTTTTTTTCCTTTCAAATGTGATTTTTATTTCCATTTGTATTGCCATGACAAGGTGGTGCGCTCGGGGGATCTGATATCATATACCGCGGAGGAGGGAGTGAGGATTCTTGGCGAAGGTAAGTTTCTGGTCTCGGACAGTTTTCCTGGGAACGAGCGGAGCAAATACTGCCTGACATCGAAGGTATTGACATCGTATTTTATTTTCGACAAAAATGGACTCTTAAAATACTTCTTTCGTCTGGTTGTGAGATCTCAATAACTCCACTTGAGATGCCTAGTTCTCGCTGATGGTGGACCATTTCACATCATGTTGAGTAAGCGACCAACTTTGTGGAACTACATTGCTGTAAGTGATAACGGTGCAGATGGTAGGTGGTTTGACTACTGAGCTAAATGTCTCATGGAAGTCAAGTCAAGGGCGTTGGTGAAAGCTTTTGCTGAAAGTTATGCTTTGAAACTACGATAAAATCAACAGGAAGACGTTTGATCTTGTTATCCAACAGAATTTGGCATACCAAGCAAGCTCATCTTGATTTGTTGGTTGGGACCTTTGGCTACCAACCAAGAAGTCTTGGGCTCGACTCTTGTGTATGTTATGTGTGTATGAGTTTGCCTTAATTGACCTAAATACCAAAACAAAATTGCATTCCAACAGAGGGGACAAGCTCCCACATGTCGTTATGAACAAAAGGCATCAAACTATTTAGGCATGGCTCAAATTATTGAGGATCTTTGATGGTTTAGGTGGTGGAGGTGGGTTCAAGCTCAGGAGAGAGGGTAATTGGACATGGAGGTTTAGTTTTAGTGTGGGTTTGTGGATTTTGATTTTAGATCGGGAGATAATGGGGTGATGGATGGAAGTGCTAGGAGAGGTTGGAGCTTGGGGCAATACATTATTGCTTGGGTTCTATGGTGAGCTAAAGGAACAATTTGATCACTGTAGATTGCCAAGAATTGGCAGATTGGCTTGGAGTATGTTTCCGCTTTGGGCAATGGAGATAAATTTGCCAACCAATGGTAAAAATTGGTGGGCAAGACATGATCATTAGGAGGCATAACTAGAGTTGGCAAGAGTGACACATGAGGAATAATGAAGTGCTGAGAAAAAGGGGACCCAGGAGAAATCCATGAATGTAGAGCTTCAGGATTGGAGTAGAGATATGGTGATAGATTTGGAGGGGAATATATTTTTGATAAATTTGGCATGTCGGGAGGTGTATATTTGGTGAAACCAATAAAATTTTACATTAAGATTTCAAACTAAAAGTCTTATCATAAACATAGTAAAACACATATACAATATCATAATACTATAACATAACAACTTACAATTAATATTAATTAATAGAAGAAATATACATATGGGGCGAGAACCGTTGATAGAGAAGAAGAGGTAGAAAATTGAGACGAAATAGTAGAGGGGAAGGGGAAAGGAGGCTAGATCGCAAGCTAGAACAAACCCGGGGGTTTTAGATTCCAAAAATCATCACACGTTCATTCCTAAAATTGCCACAAAACAACCTCATTTATAGGGGAAAAAATAATAAATACATGTAGTTAATGCACCTCCTAAATAGCCAATAGGAACACCTGGAAAACTGTTGTAAACATAGACCAAAGGGACAGCCTCTAAGGGGGAAAAATGAAGCATCCACATAGCATAAAGTGGGGTGGGGGGGATTGAAGAAACAACACAGCTGTCAAAGAGGGAGAAACTGAAGCACCAATGGGGGGAAAATCGAAGCATCCAGATAGCAGCCAAGGGACTGCTTGATTACATCAATTCTCCCCAGGTGGAGAATCCTCATCTCCTGATGAGATCGTCCGCATAGAAGGTTTACTTTCACCATCTGCAGATTCCTTTGCATCTTGAGGTGGAACTTCGGCCTGTTGAGTGTTTGACTTACCATTTTTTAT